TGTAAGACAGTTTTACAATTCTTTCACCTCTGTGATAATTGAGCCATTCTTGGGGGACTTTCAGCCTGGGTATGTTCTTAGTATGTTCTTAAAATTCTAAATTAATCTCAGCCTGTACAATCTTACAGAAAAAAGGTTCTTATAAAATAAATAGTTACGTATGATGCACGATCCTTGCAGTAGAGAGCGCTATTCATATATTCATCGTATCTGAATTATCATCATGGGTTTATTACGAATCAACTTAACGGCCTGCTCCCAGTTGGTTTGTTAGCTCAATTGGTGGAGCGCTGCACTAGTATCGCAGAGGTCGGTGGTTCGAATCCAGTACGGGCCTGATGTTTTTTTTCAGGTCTGATTTTCGCTATTGCATAAATAGTGCTCTCTACTGTGAGGATCGTGCATCATACGTATCTATGACCGCAGTTCAAAATATATGAACTTCATATATTCATCGTATCCAAAAGAAATAGTGTCGTGCAGTAGTGTTGTAATGTGAGCCTGCTTAATGTAAATATCATTGTATTCATTATTGGGCAGCTTATTTGTAAAGATTTCCGTACAGCCCAACAAAAACAAAGCCATAATCCCAAAGGTTTGCCTCTGCTTTCTTTTATCCAAGAATTGTATGCATAATGAAGTATGGGATTCTAGAGGAAATCTTGCCGCTTATTTCAATCATTTTCCCAATGTAATAAGTTTGGTTTTGTGCATTTAGTATAAGAGTGGCGTTTTAAATGTTACTTTACATATTAACTGTTAAAGTATAAATATGTAAATGTGTCCGTGGAATTTTGTAAAAACGTAAAAACAAAAGATTTCGTTAGAATTAGTTACTAATATATATCGTAAATAACAATAAACAATCATAGTATCGTAATTAAGGTTAGCATTACAGGTATTGTTAGTATTTTAAGTTATGTTAGTGTCATAAACATATCAAAATAAAAGTAACACCGGAATTGTTTAAAATGCTAGTTTTGTATATATTGATGATTTAAAAAAAAATTACAACAAAAGAAACACCAAGACTCGCTTGCCAGCTAAGACTAGAGAGAGTCGCAAAGTACAGTAGCGAAGGAACAAACGCACTTCCTCTCCTTTACGATGACTAATCTTACTCATGCAGCTTGTAGTGTTTAAGATAAAGCTTCCACGAAGGCATGGCCAAAAGTGAGGATTCACTCGTATGTTTCGGTTCAGTTTAATACTTCCGTCAAATTCGAAATTCCTTTGTCACGGAATCTGGTTAGATGTACCGTTGTGATTTTAGAAAAATAATATTCATACACCTAATTAATGTAAGCTTTATGATTGTGCTGACGCATCCATTGATCTGCTAATTATTACCTGAAAATTGGCCACTATGCTTCCGCCCAGACTTGAAGCTACACCAAGCACTACAGCCAATTTGTTGAGCCTAATAACAAGCGCCCTGTCTCTTTCGTTCCAATCAGCATCGTGTCTCAACTGAAGATACCGCACAAACGTTGTCACGAGCGCAAGAAGGGCGCACAAATTGAACAGCAGTCCGAAAACGTTGCTTTCCGGCCGGCGATCCGCAGTGTCACTGATAGTGGGAAACCATGAAGTGTCGTTGCGTATTCGAGAAATAACATAGGTAATCAGGAAGGTTACAACTGAAAGTACAGCTAGCAGAAAAGGAAAAGCTCCAAGACCACAGCGGATACACATCGTTTCCAAATCCAAATCCTCGAGAAGTAAATGAATTGATAAACTGAAAAATACCCAATAGAGTTTTTATAGCTCACATGCCCCTCAGATGTCTTCTCATTTTCTAAAGTTATGGCCCTGAATATACTAAACTTAGGAATGAAATCATGGTTACGAACCCAGTATCGAAAGTAATTTGAGAAGTTGATAAATTTCCCTTGTAGCAATTTGACAAATCGCTCTTTACAGAGGGAGGGGGTGGGTAAAAGTTGAGAGACACCTCAGCGTGTTCACATCCTACCCCTGCCATCATAGAATGATTAAGAACGTTTCAAGTGATTGCTAAAAAAATATGAAAAGAAAACGAAATAAAAAATCAGGGACGTGATTAAATACTTTTAACAAATGTACTTCCCATTGCATTGACGTCAAAATGCCGTAGGAACATAATCCATTCAAAATGCGTGTATGATTCAGCTTATTATCATATTACCCAAACTAGATACTGATATCTGAGTTTACAGAATATCTTCAATACGTGTTAAATTAAAAATGTTTTGCGAGCAATTCAGGATACCTCCTTCTACTCCCCCTTAGTATTAGTTTCAAATCAAAACGAGGCTGTCAAAAAAATATTAGCGCGCGAAGTTTGGGTACCATAACATGATAATTATGAAAGACCAAGATTCCGCAAAATAGCAGATTTAGCCATGGAAAATCTTCCCATCAGTACGTTCCCTTCAAACAGGAGCCCTAGCATTCGTGACTGTGAACAGGTTGCATCAACGCAGATACGCCATGGCGAATCTGCGGCCGCAGATAAGCCAGTATTTTTCCCGTTTCCTTTCCCTCCCTATGACATCCAGGAGGATTTTATGAAAACTTTGTATGGCGTGCTTGAGAATGGAGAAGTTGGAATTTTCGAAAGTCCTACGGGAACGGTGAGTGGAAATGGAAATGGATATTGAGATAGATGAGGTTCTTTGAGCGAAGATCGGAGCTAGTTGTAAAATGGTACGTCGCATACAAGAGCGCGTTATTTGATTATGTAAGTCTAGAGCAAGAGGAATTTATTGATTACCCATAAATGATGACTGACCTTTTCACTCCCATGATCTCATAAGTAATTCTCCTTACTGTCTACCATCTTCCTAATAAGGAATGTATTTGTTAAACTGAGCTCAAAATTTAACTGTCTTTTTTTAATTCTATCTATATACCCCATTGCCTACACTCCTAGGGAAAATCTTTGAGCTTGATTTGTGGAGCTCTTACCTGGCTAAAAAGTTATGAAGAGAGGAGAGAGGAAGAACTAGACAAAGCCTTCTCAGGTTCAAAACAAGTTACAACTCACAGGTAATGATCTTAACCCTTGCACCATGAGCCATTTTTTTAACCCCTGTGTGGGCCAAACTTGGGTATATTTATAAAGTTTGAAAATTAATATAAAGATACATTTAATATGTTTTGTTGGTTATTTCATATTGTATCTAACACCAAGTGCACTAGTCTTTACCAGACCCTCATCAGTTTAATTGTTTGCAGTTTGACTGTTTTAATAGTGCGTAAGAATATTCGTACAAGTAGTATCTTTTAGGACATACTGAGTACTTCCTCACAGCATATGAGGGTAACCTCATAGGACTAATCTGATACAGGATGTACTCAGTACTTCCTTGAAGCAGTGATCGAAGGGGCTAATGAAACAAAAACTTGTTTGGGTTGACTCCTGAACAATCTGTCAGTTTTATTTTTTTTACAAAGTTGTTGCCTTTTTTCAGGGACAGTGTCATACATGAGGACAAAGGAAAAATATTTAATAGTGCAGATGATTGTAAGTCCAAAAGCAATGTTAATTGGGTGTTTTAAGTAATCCTAGATAGCTTTGCTTTTGCTTGTCTTCATAATGTGATTGGTCCATGAAGCTTACACCATTCTCTACAAAAAATCCAATCTCAATCAGAACTGAAACCAATTTCCATTTTTTTTTTACATTTTTACATTTTTATAGCGCAGACTTCTATGTGGGTTTATTCAGTTGCGCTTAACAGTATCGTAAGGTTGAGATCTGACGTCATCATTTTTATCAGGCACCTCTGGCAGCCGCTTCAGTCCATGTAGCGATCTGACCTAATCCCACCCTGGGGAGGATATCCACTACACAGTAATCTCATTCATGGGAAATTTAAGTCTCCTACCCCTAACCCTGCAGGAGACGGGACCTATGGCTTTACATCTTATCCGAGAAGATGAAGGAATTGGTCAGTCATGTGCTCCCAGGCTCTGAGCAGTTTGTTTCCATTTTTCTTTGAATTCTCATTGGTTCTTTAACCCCTTAACTCCCAGAGGTGCATGATTGACTTGTAACTTCTCCCTAGGCCTATAATATCTATACATTAGACATACCCCTGCTATTTTGGATCATTTTCACACAAAGGATGTTATAACTCACAAATTTAATCATTTTTCATTGTTGTTTCATTTCAGCCACAATGCCAGACTGGGTGATGGAATTTGCAGAGAAGCAAGCTGCTCAAGAAAAAGAAGACAGAGTCAAGGTACTTTTGATCCATTCAAAGGGAATTAATGAAATATTTATTAAGCTTAAAATAAATAAATATTAAATAATTGTGTTACCATCTATATAAAAGGATAATAAACAAAGTTAACATAACTCTTGCATCGTGCTCTAATTTTGTAGGAGGAAAGAGAGCGATTGGAAAAACAAAGAGTGCAGCTTCAGAAACTTAAGAATGAACTAAAACCAGCATGTGCATTTAAAACTGGAAAGAGAAAGGTTTGTCTGCTCTCGAAAAGGAAAACAGTCCTAGTGCAGGGGCTATGCTACTTACTTGAATAGGCTTAAACTACAAATAAGAGTTATATGTTGCCCCTAATGGTATGGTTTTTCCCCTTTTATCTGAAGTGGAGTGTAGACTGTACCATGTGTTTTTTAATCTGCATGGTTACGTTTTGTAGACTCTCTGAGATGTGTGAGACATGGTTGTGTTAAAGTTAGCGTGCTGCAGGCTCGAGACCCGGTTATATTAGTCGTTGTGATTAATGTTCTTGGGCAGGACACTTTTATTTACTTATGCATTGCCTCTCTCCACCAAGGAGTATACACCAGACATTTTGGTGTTTGGTATCACTGAGTATTGTAATATGAATTGTGCTGTATTTTGAGGAGCCTGAAGGGTGAGTTAAAATACAAACAACAGGTAAAAAATACATAGCAATACCACACACCAAAACATCTAACAAGTTATTTATTATCTAATTCCCGTTTTTTTTCTGCCAACTGTTTCTCCTCATTTCTCATAAGGTGTGAAATGCAAAGCAGATAGACAAGGATAGTGTGGGCAGCAGACTGGTTGAACAGATTTTTTTACAGTTCAAAATAATCAACTGTACAATATTGCAGGATATTTGTACATGATCAGGGCTCGACACTAACTTTTCAACTTACTAGCCGAGTGGCCGATGACATCTTAGATGTTATGACAATTTCAGTTTGTTTACTTATATAGTGAAACTGGCAATAGGAATAAAAAACCACTGGCCAAAACTGAATTTCTACTAATCTGTGGCTACTGGGCTACCATTAGTGTAGAGCCCTGTTGATCCATGCTTTATTTGTACTCAGTTTTGAGCAGTTGGGAAAAAAAATGGGTACTATCGAACTGTTGGAAAGTCTTGCAAAAAGGCAGGGGTTAACCTGCAATGGTCTTGATTGAGTGGGGTTTTTTTTTTAATTAGTTGCTGTAACTTTCTGTTACTGTACAGCCTTACCCATTGTATGTTTAGGAGAGTCAGTGAAATACAATACATGATCTATGTTTTATAATTAATTACACAAGGTTTTGTAACATTTCTGATCTTGGCAGTAGCAGGATGCTTATCAAACATAAACCTGGCATACATGTATAGCAAAGCTCTCAAATGAATTTAGTCCACTATGATAGGGTATTGACAACAAATTCTGAAAGTCTGGAGTTCAATTCCTTCAACAGACTCTGATTTTTTTCTTAATGATCGGCATTTGTTGCCTAATTTTAATTCCTTAGCATAGTAATGGAGAGCACACTAATTTTGGACTCAGTGGCTCAGACATAGAGAACAAAATTGCCAGTGAAATCAATGAAGTCCTTGGGAAAACCACACAAGAGGATCCTGATGCAGATATTGTATTAACAGAATATCAAAGTGATGGAGAACAGACTGGGTAAGATAAACACCAAAGGTGCCTTATTTGTAATGTCAGTAATATTTCTATTTGAGAAGGGGTCTTTTGAATTCCATTATTATGAAACAATCACAATTTCATCATCATGAATTGGGTTAACTTTGTTGTTCCTGTTGCTGGCAAATGTAAGATTATGTTCACTGTATGAAGAGTGACATATAAGGGATTTAATTTTCTTTTTTTTTTAGATCAGATCAGGAAGATGATGATAATGATGAAGAGCCCCATTGTTTAAAGGTAGTGCACTAGATATAATTAACAGACTGAATAGATTACACACCTTAAAATCAGTATGCATATTCTCCTTACTGTCTTTTAGACATTTCCTAAGATGCTAGAAAGAAGAATCTGTTTAAAAATCAAGTTGTTTTTAGCTGGTGATCATTTCCTTTATTCTCGTAACCTTAATGTGTGATTCAGGGGCTATATTGTAAGGAGAAATTAAAAGCTAGTCATTCTTCAGGGTCAAAGCTTAAAAAAAACCAAAAGTATTTATAATTTTCAACCAATAAGCTAGATTTCTCTATGATTATTATTGTTTTTCCAGATATTTTACTGCAGTAGAACACACTCCCAATTGACTCAATTTGTGAGGGAAGTGCAAAAGAGTCCATTTAGTGACAGCATACGAGTTGTATCCCTTGGATCCCGACAGAATCTTTGCATCAATGAGGATGTTAAAAGCCTTAAGAATATAAACAGAATTAATGATAGGTGTTTGGAACTTCAAAAGAAAGACAAAGGTGAGCCTGTAGAGGGGGGGTGGAGTGGGGTGGGGGTGATGATGGGATGAGGGGTGGGGTGGTGAAGGGGATGGTTGGTCTTAATTGTTTGCAACACAAACTCTTTGTAACAAGTGTTTTGTTTTCTTCAAAAATACTCTTTCAAGGCAGGGATTTGAGAGACATCATATGTAGTTTGAAAATGAATTTCAAATATTTTTAGGAGAATTTTGAACACAGCAGTATGTTTTATTTTATATTGTTTTGAAAATTGTTTACATGGAAATGAAATGATGATGTGAAGGAAGCACTTGCCTTAAAGTTGCAGCACAGCTGGAGTTCAGATCAAAAGGACCATGCTTGTGACCTGGCTGGGGCATTGCCTAGTGTTCAGGGGAAAGAAACTTACCTCTTACAGAGCCTCTCTTCATCAAGAATTATAAATGGATACCAATACTAACAAATTGTGTGGGGGACCTGACCAAAAGCTGGAGGTTACAGGTAGCAGTAGTCTACTGCCAGCTATAAGACCTCTTTAAACCTTTCACTGGCAAGATCTTCTTAGAAATTCTCCTTACTGTCTGCTTTTGCAATTCTTATGATGCAAGTCTGGAGAATTTGGTACTGGATCAACTAATAATCCCTTAGTCGATATTTTTCTTTATTCTCATCACTTACCTGCTTGACATTGTACTGTTATTGTAAGGAGAAAATCTGTCTCGGTCACTCATGGGAGTTGAAGGGTCAACCGCTGTCTGTTTAGCCTGCCAGCAGGCTCTTGTGTTTGCCTGGGTGTTTGCCCTGTGGCTCCTTTCCCTGGCACCGCTTTCCATTACACCATCTGTGGCTTCCTATGTGGATCCGAGAAAAGTTATTGATTGAAATCTCTTCTACATGTGCTCTCTTGTATTTTCTCACTGCACAAAGGTACATGATTGTCATGTTAACAGAAGGTAACTACTAAATGTTTGGAATAAAACTGAGAGTTATGTTTTTTTTGAACAGAGAAGAAAAAAGCTGTTGGAGAGAAACCTCCAAAGAAGAAGAAAGTTTCAAATGGATGTCCCTTCTATATGTACCAGCAACTGCAGAAATTCAGGGACCATGTGTTGGTGAGGTCCTTAGTTAATTGAAAAAAATACTCTTGAGAGAAAATTTGAATTAATTTCTAGCTGTTAACAGTAGAATGCACCTTCCAAAGAGTCAATAAAGCAGAAAAGGATGAAAAGAATGAGCCGTGAGGCTTTACACTTTTACTATAATTGTTATTTTACTTTGAAAAATCAGCTTGTGAATGAATAGGTTTTAGAACATGATTGTTTCAAACTGTTGAATAAATTTCTTCTTTTCTCAGGTGGATGTAAAAGATATTGAGCAACTTGTTTCTGTCGGTGAAGAACTTCACGCCTGTCCTTACTATGGGACAAGATTAGCCATACCCGCGGCACAGGTAATTTTTAGTTACAGAGCTTTTTTTTTATTTGAGTGTAGAAATTCATATGAGATTTCTTTGGTTTTGCTCAACATTTCTGTGTGAATGGTCAAGAAAATTAAACTCACAACACCTGTTCTTATCTATTGAATCATTCATACTCTGACTAATTTTTTTTCCAACTCTAGCTTGTAGTTTTGCCATACAACATCCTACTTCACAAGTCTACAAGGGAAGCCTGTGGGATAAAGCTTAAAGGAAACGTGGTTATTGTTGATGAGGCGCATAATTTGATCGACACAATAAGTAGTGTACACAGTGTAGAAATCACTGGTTCTCAGGTAAAATAAATGACTTTTATTTTACCCTTTAATTTCCAAGATCAGATTGTTAATTCTAGCCTCTAACTGCTACACATTTCCTTGTAAATAAGCGGCAAGAATTTGGTGTTACGTTAGATCAAGATAACAACTTCTCTGCGATAAGTTTCAGTGTTACATACATACATACATACATAGGTTAGTTGACCACTCCCCATGGGGGCTTTTCAGGGCCAATTCCCACCCATCCCACCCCAGGGGAGGACATCCATGACACAGTAATCTCATGCGTGGGAAATTAACGTCTCCTACCCCTAACCCTGCAGGAGACCGGGCCTACGGTTTATTCGTCCTTATCCGAGAAGACTAGAATATATCTCCATTTCTTGATTATAGAAAGGTAGCAATTTCTCCTCACTTATTTTAAGACGTTGAGTATTGGTCGGGCGAGGGCTGGAACCCTCCACCTCCCGCACAACACAATCCGGTGCTCTAACTAATTGAGCTAACCGGGAGGCGGTTAGTGTTGTTACCCTTTTGCTAGATAATGTATGGACATGATGGGGAGAAATTATGTCTTCATCACCTTCAGAACTTGATGGGTTAAAAGCGAATCAATACCAGTTGGATCTCTCATAATAAAGTTGATTTCAATAAATTAAATTTTATTGAACATTTTACACAAGACAACATATTTATTATTAATAAATATAATACTTTAAATGAAAATTGACTAATAAGCTGACCATACTCCTGCAAAGTTTGAGAAAACATTGCATTAGATTGGACATCTTACTAGGTATTGAATATAGTTAATCCCTCTTGTCTTGTATCATGTCACAGATTTTGTGCTCTCACTCTCAGCTGACTCAGTACCAGGATCGCTATAGGTCAGTGGAAGATTCTAAAAACTGATTTACGTAACAAGCTTAGAAATTCTTACAACATTTTTCTTGCTCCTGGTTAGTTTAACATCTCCCCAATTTCAAAATTTTTAACCAGGTCAAGGTTAAAAGCAAAGAACTTGTTCTACATTCAGCAACTACTGTATGTCTTGATGTGTTTCCTAAACTGTATTGGAGGTAAGTTTTGTAAGTATAGAACTCAAAGCATGGGAGGTTCTTTGGAAGACAGAAAGGAGATTTGCTAATTAGATCTTGGGGGAGAAAGGATTAATTTACTCCATTGGGTTAAAATGCCACATACAGACAACTGGGATCAGAAGAGTTTTAGAAATCATCACTACATGATATATGAAATCTTGACTCTATATTGACATCTTCTCTTTAATCTTAGTGATCATTGTAATTGCAGTTGATCATTGTAATTGCTGTAATACAGTGGCGGATCGAGGGGGAGGGTCCGGGGGGTCCGGACCCCCCCTATCAGACCTGACGCTTACAACTTTGAGACTGAAATTCTTACATCCACAGGATCGTATATCACTTTTTAACTGGCTGATTTTTTAAATTAATGAATCAAAGTAAACGGTAAGCGGCCAATGAATTATAACATGCAACTGTGACTGGTGGGAGAAGTAATTTGTTTCAAAAGAGTCCAACAGTCCTTTCTGAACCAAAGTTTGAACCCCCCTATCAAAAATTCCTGGATCTGCCCCTTTAATATGTGATGTCTGATAAGAAGGCTGATGAAAAGACTATGGTTTCAAAACAGATCTTGCTAAGGTATTGTCAACTCTATAACATATTTTTGAATTTCCTGTAGGAAAGGAGCAAAGTAAACCAGAATCATTGTCTAGTGCAAAAGACAACAGAAAGCAAGGTTCTTAATTGTAGAGTGATGATTGTTATTTTTCTTCATCTGAACCACGATACTTGTCTCTTGTGAGTTCTCTTGATCTCCAGGGGTTGTCATGAAATGCTTTCTTATGACTGTATCTATATTGGACCACCTCCTTATACTCTGCCAAGGACATCTCTTTTTTCACCATGCACAGCCGGTCCTTGTTTAATTTTTCTTTTCCCTTTTAAAACATTTCTTTCAAAATATCCTTGCAAATATGGGCTCAATGAACTATTAAATTTAATTTAACACAGAAGGTAAGCCTTTTCTTAAACGTTAATGAAATAATTATAGTTATAATCATCAACTGTAGTATTTTATTTTGATGAAATTATGACAAATCATTAATTTTTTTATTTTCTTGTCCTAAATAGAAGTGAAGCTACTAACAATCAATGATTTCCTCTTTGCTGCCCAAATAGATAATGTAAACCTTTTTAAGGTACAATAAACATTTAAGCTATAGAACACATTTTTCTGGGCTCTATTACATGATATAGCCATGCAGGATGTTGGGTGAACATGAGGGAAGTTTACAAATTACAAGCCCAAGGCAAGTGAATTATATAAAGCTTCCGAGTGTTCTCCCAACATCTCAAGTCGCTTTATCATGTTATAGAGCCCAGAAAAATGTGTTCTATTGCTTTTATAACATTACTGATTACACACAGGCTCTATAAACTGAAAAGCATCTGTTTGGAAACTGAATTGACCAATCAGACAATGTGTACTATGTTCATTATGTTATAAAGCTAATGAAAAGTATACTATTAGATGAGGTTATGTACATTCCTGCTTGGTAGCATTGGGCATTAACCATAAATCTCCTCTTGACTCTATACTTGGCAATTCTTTTTGCCTCCCTCAAGGTTATGTTCTTGTCCTTGAGCTCATTTTGTACACAATACCTCCAGGATTGCTTCCGATGGCCTCCTCTTCTAGACCCCTGAGGGTTCCATTTGAGAGCAATGTAGGTGATTTTTTCCCCAGGTTTCTGAAGTGGACATCAAATCCATTTCCTTAATAAGTATACTATAGGATGTATATATATTCAGTTCATGAAGATGTCATTCCAATGTAAAACTTGAATCAATTCTCCTTTCAGATAAAAAGATACTGTGAGAAGAGCATGATTTCTAAAAAGGTTAGTTCTAAAAGAAATTTTTTTTCAGATATTTCATGATCTTATGAGTGACCTTCCAGAATGAGGTATGGAAGGGTTAGCATTGATTATTTACTCAAATTTAATTTTTTTTTCAAGCTGAATGGATTTGTTGACAAATATCATTCTGTACAAGTGGGAACAGGTTAGTTCACAATCATCAGGGCTGGACACTAACAATAGCCCACTGGCCACAGAATAAAAGAAATTCAGTTTGGCTAGTGGTTTTTGATTCCCACCAGCCAATTTGGCTAGTTAAACAAACTGAAATTGTCTTAACATCTAAGATGTCACTAGCCACTTGGCCAGTAAGTTGAAAAGTTAGTGTCAAGCCCTGATCATGCTGTAATTTTGGAATGAAGAACTATACAAGTTTTGAGTGGCACAAATGTAGAGAAAGTAATAGTTTGAAAAAGGTTAAAATTTTATTTGTCTCTGAAAGTAAATGCTTGGAATTCTTGAAAATTCAACTGGTAAAAGGATTGCCCCAACTACTGCACTGAAAATGTTTTTCATTCATACCTGTCATCTTTAAACTAAGGGAGAACATGGTTGTCGAAAATTCATCTTACAATAAGTGTATCATGATGTTAGGATTAACTGCTGGAGAAGAAGGTGGATTGTATGAAAGCTGTAATTCACCTCTTCAAATCATTGAAAGCTTTTTGGAAGCACTCACAAATGCTGACAAAGATGGAAGGATTGTCATTAACAAGCAAGGTAAGATTTTCTTTGTATGCTTGGCATAAGACAGTGAGTCAATCTAGTTTTTTACTTCTTTCAATTCAGCCTGATTTAAAGGGAAAAGAAAACATTTTCAAGCAATCTTCTTAGACAAAGTTAACCCCATTTTTTTGGTCCATAAGTGTACAACCAAATTCTCCTCCCAATTTTGGCAATACTAGTGTGTCCAGGAAACAGGTCATGGGAATAAATTGACAGATAGATGAGCTGGGGGCTGCAGTTGTTACCTTGATCAAATGCCAAATTCTCTTGGCTAGTTTGCATGAAAATGTATAACAGCTACAGGAGAGAATTACTCGTCAGATCTCTCTGGAGTTAAAAGGTTTAGGGTACTTTTTGACAATTTCTAATGTGCCCGAAGAGGATAATGGTTATTTTTTTTTATTAGAGGTGTAGTTATACTCACCTTGATTGCCTCTGCACTTGGTATTTTCTACCAACAGAGCAACCCAGTAACTCCAGTCTGAAGAGAATAATGATTATTTTTTTATTAGAGGTGTAGTTACTCACGTTGGTTGCCTGTGCAATTTGTATTTTCTACCAACAGAGCGACCCAGTAACTCCAGTCTGAAGTTTCTTCTTTTGAATCCAGCGGTCCACTTCACCACTATCATCAAGGAAGCCAGAGCTGTTGTTGTTGCTGGGGGAACAATGCAACCGGTAATGAAGGGTCAATTATCGTGGTCGTACTTTTTTGACTCTGGAAGTTTGAGGTCGACCCTTAGATCCCTAAGAGTGATCAGCACCTGAATTCTCCCTATAATATTACCCCTGAATCACACATAAGGGTTACGAGACTAAAGTAAATGATCACTGCTTAAGAAGCTCTTGATTGTTAACCAAATTCTCCTTGTCAGTACCTTGAAAAATGATAGAGAACAGTATGGAGAATATGCATATTGATGTAAGGGTGTGAAGGTTTTATATACCCAGCCACTCTAAAAATCAAAATATCAATTCTCTGCTCTGTCTACCAAATTACATTTCTAATATCAACTAAGTTGAAATTGTAAATTCATTAGCCATATGCACTGACGAAGGACTAATGCTCGAAATGTCAGCTTTTTAACTCTTTATGGTAGCCAATTTCACCCTCACTGACGCAGCACCTCAGTTTCTTTAGAAACTTACCCCCTTTATACATTTCTAATGGTTATGTCTTTGGGAATTTGGTGTTAAATAATTTGTATTTCCCAACTGATATTTTTTCTTTGTTAATTATCATCATCTTTCTGCTCCAAAACTTATTACCAATTGTTAGGAAAAGTATGCCTTGGTCACAGTCTGAGAGTTGACCGATTTAGATTTCTGTATCCCATTCATCTTTGTTATCAGCTATCTGTAAATTTGATGTTTGAAAATTTCTCATTTTAAAAAAAAAAATAAAAAAAGCTAACTTCATGTTGGTTGACGAACTCAATGAAAACTAGCCAATAATTATATCACGGTGAAACTGCATCTCGTGTTCGGTGAGATTGTTAATAAATTCTACTTATTTCAGCTGTTCTGGAGAAATGTTAATGACAAAATGATCATTATATAAGGCTAAAATATGTTTCCTTCTTTGTACCTTTCAGATGTCGGATTTTAAAGATCAGCTCTTTACTTGTGCTGGACTTTCCAGTGACAAAATGGTGGAGTTTTCCTGTGGTAAAACAACCGAATTCTCCGTAGAATACGACATTGTTCCTTTTGGTATTAGAGCACAGCTGTAACATTAATTATGGGCTATGAGCGTTCTCTTTTTATATTTTCAGCTCATGTTATTCCAGCAGAACATTTGCTCGCTGTAGCGTTAGACAAAGGACCTTCTGGAAAAGATCTTGATTTTACTTACCAGTCGAGAGACTCGAAGCAGTTGGTAGGCGCTGCGGTTATGCACATTACTAAATTTTTGCCTTGAAATCGGGGATGCTTTGTTTATTTCTCATATTATCATTGAAAAAAAAAAAAACACCAGCTATCAGTAAAAAAAAAGCCATATTATGTTCTCAAAGAGAGTCCGCCATTTTGTATTTACTTTTATCGGAAGTGTGATGTCGATTTTTACTTCCGGTTATCAGAGCTTAGCTGTCCACCCTTTAGTAGTTAAATTTTCGCAAATTTGATTCAGCCGGGCGTAGTGGCGCACGTCTTTAATCTAGCTGCTTGGAGGCTGGAGTCGCTGAATGGCTTGAGGGCGGGATTCCTGGGGTTAGTCGTGCTATGTAGATCGGGTGTCCACACTAAGTTTGGCGTCAATATGGTGAAGACAGAGGAATCTGAGTTCTCCAGGTTGGTTAAAGAGGAGCGAACCGGCCCAGGGTGGAAACACAGCAGGCAAAAGCTCCCGCGTCAAACAGTAGTGGGATAGCACCTGTGAATAGGCGGTTGTTCACAGCCCGTCCAATATAGTCGAACTCGACTCTGTATTCTTTTTCTTTTTTCTTTTTTCCTTTTTTTTTTTCTTTTTCGCCTGGTTTATTTGATATCGTACTCTAGCTCTTTCCTTTTACTGCCGAGGGGGAAAAATCATTTGCACGTAAATATTTTCCAGCAGTGTAAGAAAAAATTTACATCGAAAATTTTTTTATCTTTTCGTTTTGATTATTTTTCACCTTTTTTTCAAATTTTTTTCTGGAGCTTACAAACTGGCGAACAAAACCAATGGCACTTTTGTTACTTTTTGCCTCAGAAAGAAGAACTGGGACGACTCCTGCTAAATATTTTTGCTGTAGTTCCCGGAGGAGTAGTGTGTTTTTTCTCCTCGTATGATTATGAAGAGAAAGTCTGCAAATACTGGCAGGAATCCGGGATTCTGGAGAAATTAAACGCTAGTAAGAAGGTGCTTTAAGGATTTCTAATCACATTTTGTTATCTTTTCCTACTTTCTGTCTTCCTTTTTTCTTTTTTTTTTTTTTCTACCCAAACATACAGAATTTCTCTCCTATTTCTCAGGTCTACAGAGAGCCACGTAAATCTAGTCAACTTGATCAAGTTCTTTCCTCCTACGCAGCCTGTATTAAGGTTAGTACTTAAAGCAACGTTTAGATGCTAGATCATTTAGCATTATTTCCCCCAGTAATATCTCAAGAGTATCAACAAGCGTTGCCCTCCGGAAAAAATGTGCTCATTTCACCAGAGTCGAACAAATCTTGTGCTCGAAACAATGCCTTGCGTCTGGTTAAACTCTAACATTGAACTCTTATCATAAAATCTGGGGGAAGGTAATTCTTAGGAGGTTAAATTTTTCTCTTGGTTTAACTTGTTGAAGGTCTACTGTAGCGTAGCAGTCTTTTCTCTTTGATATGATATGGAAAATACAAGACACTTTTTCTTGAAAATCATCCAAAACTGCTTCTAAAGCTCTTACAATTCTGAAATTTCCGAAGCATCGTGTCTTAAAAATCTCGATAAAAAGCCCGTCTTTTTGTATTCAAGCGTAATGAACATTCAGAGGAATACTAATATCGCCTTTGAACTTTTTTTTATCCACAGAAGCCAGTCGTAATTGCCAACAACTCTCCAAATGGCGCGGTGTTGTTCTGTGTGGTCGGAGGAAAGATGAGTGAGGGGATAAATTTTTCTGACGACCTTGGTAGGCATGTTTCACGTTTGGTCATATCTTTGCTTGAGAACAGAAACCATATTTTAGACTACTGTTAGCTTCTCGTCCCAATCTCTTCCTGCCCAAAGTCTTCGCTCTTTATCGCGAAGATAAATCTCGCTCTCACTCAAGAGAAAAAAAAATCAGAATGCTAGCTGTCTGACCGTATTCTGGCGAGACGGAGAGATTAGCTTGTTGTAAAGTCTACCAGTAATCTTCTATTTCCCTCGCTTGAACGCACCTTCATGCCTTGCGCCGTCTAACCATCGAACGTGTCACATTTCGCAGTATCACGATTGTAGTTCAGTGGGACATATTTTATTTTGGGGAGGGGAGTGGAGTAGGCATGCGTCATATCAACAACATTTGGAAACACTTTGCTGCATTTTTACTTTAGGTGTGTGGTCATGGTGGGTCTGCCTTATCCAAACATCTACTCACCGGAATTAAATGAGAAAATGATATATCTTGACGCAACTTTGGGGGTAGGCCTTACTCTGAGAATTCCTCTTTAATAACCTTCAGGCTGTGAATCGCTACGGTTCCATTTCTTCCGGTTTTGCGCATAACCCCCACGCTTATGATCTGGTGAAGTGCATATTAAGCTGAATTTTGTTCTCATTACATTCCGACGTCTTTTGTGATCTATCGCTGCACAGACGCACGACATCATGGGATCTATTAGTTAGCTAAACTGTTGGATTCGCAAGCAGAAGCAGAACAACCAACCAGCTTTAAGCACGTTCTCAGGCCATCCGCTCGCTTACGGCTCAAACAATTTTAGCTTTAACAGATTACAAGCAATTGAGTCACGAGCTGGGCTCTGTACTCTGCTTCTGATTACGTCGGTTTGATTTTCACCGGGTCATATGGCTCTACGCTTCTGATGATGGTTCTTACTCCAACTCCGACGTTAATGAAAATCAGCTTTAAATGTTTACCAACAGTTTCTTTGTGCTCCTGATAGATCCCCGTCCATTTTTAGTCTGTGCACAAGAGTCTTCTGGTTGTTTTGCGTTTTTGCGCTATGGAGTATTTTTTGATCAGTGATATAGCTCACTATTCATTTGGTGTTGTTTGTTAATTTAGCGCAAACAACCAATCAAACAAGAAACTAAAGTTCTTCCTTAAGCGTCGTTCAGTTTTTTATTCCAGAGAAGCCCATTGTCTCTGTTGTTTACTTATGCCATCCTTGGTCTCTGTTTTTTTCTCAGCCAAAAGCTGGTCAAATACATTATGAAAACCTTTGCATGAAAGCCGTAAATCAGTCAATAGGTGAGGCCAAACTTCATTATCTTTAAACTAGCCTGAGCTTGCACTGTTACAATGGAACACAAACAAAATGTAAACTGAGTCATCAAGAATCCGTCCAAAGTTTTTAAGAATTTTTTTTCATTCAAATTTTTTTTTCAGGTCGCGCTATTCGTCACAAACGAGACTTTGCGACAATCCTGTTGCTTGATCAGCGGTATGGTTCTGCTAGAATTCAGAAAAGCCTTCCAGGTTGGATTTCAAACCGACTTCAGCACCAGACTCGCTTTGGTTCTGCATTTGCTGCCATTCGCAAGGTATGATTCATGGTAAAAGGAGGAGGGTGTGTCTTGTCACCAGTCTATTATGAGAACTTCCAACCTCGTTCTGAGGACCCTTCGTCTTCTCAGTGGCTAGTTTGCCGAGCGAGATTCAAAATGAGAGGGAGGGGTCCGTTGTCGAATCTTTAACATCTCAGAAGATAGTTTTCTGAAGGTGTAATTAGTCTGTGATGTCTCTAAACATGTTTAGTGTCATAATTTTGATTTAATCCACAGAAGTTTTTTTAATGGTGGAGATAAAATCTGGTTTCTGTAGATTACTTTCCTTTAAAAGGGGTCACGTTGCGGTGGTCAGCTTGAAAGAATCACTATGACGGAAAAAGGACAGTTATAGATAGGGATGATCTCAACGTTCTGCCTGTAGCGAACTGAAAGATAACACCCCAAACTTATGAGACTGGACGGCTCAGTTTACCTCTCTTCACTTTTTTCAGTTTTTCGTGGACAAGCGACAGGCGGATGAAGCCATGACAAACACTAGACTGGAACAGATGACCACGTGAAACCTGAAGTGACCTGATTACCCACAGAGATTTAAAGCAAAATGTAACGTGTTTATTTGATAGATTACTTCAATGAAGTACACGGTTCCAAGTTTATTTATTTTTATTTAATATATCTATTTCACGAATGCATCATGATACATATTTTCATCGGCACAACGACAATGAAAGCCCCTTGCCGAGTCTGCTCCATTGAACCCTTCAATCTCCGGGAGTGACCGAGACAGAATTTCTCCTTAGAAAATTAATACAAGATTAAGCAGAAAAATGATGAGGAAAAAACAAAGAAAGAAAATATCAGATAGGGATCATTAGTTGATCCAATACCAAATTTTATGAATTAATATCACGAGGATTGTATTTGTGCACGATCCTCGCTGTAATGAACACTATTTAAGCGATAGTGAAAATCAGACCTGAAAAAATTCAGGCCTGTACGGGATTCGAACTGACCAGTCAGTGGTTCGAATCCTGTACAGGCCTGAATTTTTTCAGGTCAGATTTTCATTTGTTCATTACTGCGAGGATCGTGCACAAAGACGTTTCTATAACCGCAGTTCAGATTTATGAATTTCATATATTCGTTGTGTATCACGAGGATTGTTTGGCAAACGTTGAGGGGAATTACTAGTAAGAGGGGTAAAGACAGTTTGGTCAATAAAGCGTTGGTGCCGTTGCGTTGGGTTTTAAAGGAAAAATATTCTAAATAAAGAAATGACAACAGAAGGAAAGCATTGAAGATGATCCTTATTTAAATTATCTTCCTTGAAAACGTTTCTTACTGCAAAAAGAATCGTGGTTTCTGAAGCTTGAATACCCTTTCTTTTTCAAGGTTTTTTTTCAACATTTGCGTGCGATGTTTCCGCCTTCTTGACAAACTTGGTAAATCACCGCATTTCTAAGGGGCGCTGCCAACAACTAAATATTGTAGCTTTCAAATGCTACATATCGTTAAAGAAAGTCAAAAGGGATGCCGCATTGCCACACTTTGCTCTGTGATTGGCTCAGAAAACTCAGGCCACTTTCTCAAGCAACAACCTTCAAAACTCATTGCGACTTGGTCAATCGGGTTTTCCCGCGTTTTAGGTAGTTTGCTTTCTTTTTTTTTTTTTCTACCTCGTGGGTCCTCGTTGGCTCCATGTGAACGTTTTCTTCGCTCTGATAGGCTGTCGTAATTACTTTGGTTTTGGTTTTACTTCAATCGATCGAATGCGCTCCACTGACGAACTACTTCCTAACAAGATTTTTATGTGAATTTTTTTTTTTCAAACCAAACTTGCCACACGACATCTGATACAGAATAATTTTTAATCGAGAGCCGAAAGTTATCAGGAACTGTACATGTATTGGTTTTGCTAAACTTCATTTTGAAATTGGTAAGGGAAAAATTGGCACCATCTTCTCGACCAATCATATGCGAAACTTAAACCAATCTCTAGTTGGTAATTTGTTATATCAACTAAGTTGAAATTGTAAATTGGCCACCGTAAAAAGCTGACGTTTCGAGCGTTAGCCCTTCGTCAGAACGAATCTCTAATTGGGCAGCCGCGTTTTCCCGTGCTTTATAGTTTGGTTTTGTGATTACGCTCGTTTTGGTTTCCCATTTCTAATAGGGATGTTTTCATGAGATATTCACGCATGAAATCTATGCATGAATCCTGTGAGTAATTTTACATTTCAGAAACTGCTGTTGGAGGCCTGCGAGAAGAGGACTGGTGTCCCTTGGCAATTGACATAACGACGGGATTTTGATCCCGAGTTGGATGACAACGGAGAGACTTGAATTGTTCTCCATGATTTCCTTACTAGTTTGGAGTTATTAAAAACATTGTAAGGCGTTGAATGGAAACTAGCAGCCACCGAATCTGTGTCGAAGTCGTTTCCAACATCAGCGTGTCCTACGTTCGGCAGCGAGGCAGCCTCGTTTCCTTGAGCTGAACTTGGACACGAGGCTCCTTGACCGGTGCGGCGCAAAGGTGAAGAAACAGGTGAAATAAAAGAAGTGTCAGAACTCGAGAACAGAGACATGGAATTCAGCTCGTGCACACTGCACGAGTTGGTGCAATCCCTGAAACCTCCTTCAAATGAAGACGAGTTAGGTGTCATGTTGTGGTTCGCGCACCGAGAATGAAATTTGACCACTTTTCGTGTTGGACTCGAGGAGAGATCTGGTGTCCCAGATCCACGCTCTGAGGAACAGAGCGACTGAGTAAATAAATCAGGAGTCAAAGATACAGTGGAAAAAATGTCACAACTATCATTTGACATCGACACATCACTGTAACCACAGTGCTCAGAAGATATACACTTTCCGTTGATGGTTTGATTGACTTTTAGGTCGTTCAAGGTAGTACGGTCATGTGTTTTATTCTTATGTTGAAACCTCCCAGGTGTGGTACGATTGATGTCATATTCACCAGTTTCTTCAGCACGGTTTTCTTCTCGTCCTTTGTTCGGGATTAGGCTTTCAGGCAAAACACAAACAGATTTACTTTCCACTCTGACGTTCTCAGTACTGTTATTTCCCGTCAACTCGGCGAAAACAGTTTCACAATCTCGCAAAAATTGCGAATCTGAAGCTTCAGAGCTGTAAGCGGTGTCATCCAAGCAGGGCGAATGATCCGCCCTTGACGATACTATATCATCTCTTTGCGCGGTAGATACCGTGGTTATTTTTGGTGTTAAAGGTTTCCGAATTAGCACACTTCCATAGTCGAGCTCCATATCAGCCAAAAATACGTCCAAATCCTCAGAGGAAGGGAAATCAGTGAATTCTCTGTAATCTCTTGAGCGTGAAGAATCAAGCAAGCAACACTCATTTACTACCTCTCCAAACGTTGCATCTGGATACAAGGATTGTAAAAGACTAGCGGGTTTCTCGGAGTTTAGGGCTTGCAGCGACTGTCGATCGTCCTTTTCCAAATCAGCTAAGAATGCGCTCAGATCCTCCGATGAAGGAAAGTCGTCATACTCCTGCCATCCCGCCGAGAGATGGAGATCTCTTAGGTCTTCATTGGGATTTGTGTTAAGCAAGATTCCTGGGGTACCTGACTGCATCTGATTAGAGATGTGCAGTTTTTTTCCGTTGCCTTTGTCGTTAAGAGTTAAAGATGAACCAATTTCCCCTAAAAACAGTGAAGGAAAAAATCTTATTTTCATCCTCAAAATGGAAGATTTACCTGGAAGACGCGTTTGTCGTTAATGGGTTCAGTCCAACTGCTCGAAAAAAACTAACATTGTCGCTTGGAGGGCACGGTTTTAGGTAAAACCGTGGCCTCCAAAATATTTTTCTCACCTTGCCTAAAGGCAATTGTCAAATTTTTCACAACATTGCCTGTTCCTGTTCGTAAGTCCGGCCTAGCCTTTATGGTCATTGGCCCCTAAGATAGCCGCTAACTAAGGCTTATGAATATAAGCGCTTACTGTTAACTCGTAAAACTCCCTAAAGAAGTCTATGAAAGTTAGATGAAACGCGTCGGAGAATAAAGAAGTTTTACAACTAATGTTCGCAGAGTGCTGCTGACTGACTAGTTTAGTTTTAAAAACAATACAAAAAAAAAAAAAAAAAATTGATTAAAACATTGTTTAAAAAATGTAACAATCAAGAGCTTGTTTAGTTGGTGATCATTTCCTATATTCTCATGACCTTAATGTGTGATTCAGGGTTGATATTGTAAGGAGAAATTAGATGCTGGAGTAGTCACTTGTGGTGGTCAAAGAGTGAATGCTAAAGAAACAGGTCCAGGCTCTGGCAGGATGGGCCACTTGGCTCTATTAAGGACTCAAACGTTACATTTTACCTGACAAGGGTCGTTGTAATTTCCTTCTCTCCTTGTTGTTGGTTGCACGCCCACTGTCAGATGTTGGAGCACTGTCAGAGGGAGATTGAGAGAAGCCAGTGAGTACCAGAGGTGCGTTCATGGAGCCAAACTCATGCGGTGAGCAGTAAATGGATGATGCCCTCTTGTTGGATGAAAAGCACTCTGGAAGTTTGTAACTTGTTTGAGAGTCCAGCAATAGAGAGTGCTGAGAGGGTATTGGACTTAATGGGTGAGGGGTAGTGGTAATTCTTTTTAACTCGTTTTCATACTCCTTCAATATTTGCATCACGGTGGGGCTCTGTTCTGACGAGGGTAGCACCTGACAGGCTAAGAGGCTGGGAAGCTCTCCTGCCTGGTGGCTGGTTTTGTCTGGTTTTGGTATCCTTCTGACAATGTTCTTGAGGTTAACTGGAGAGCTGTGAGAAATTTTTGAACCTCTCCTGCAGGGTGGAGAAACCCTGAAGCCGAAGTGCAATAAAGACCCCACAAAGCATTGTTCCATGGCTTGGTACACGACACGACTCCATGGGATGGTAGAAGGTACAGTGGATAAGCTGGTCACCAGCCTGAAATACAAAAAACTCCTTCATAAGCATGGACTAAAGAATATAGTTATAAGCCTCTTTTACCACCTGAATAACAGGAACAGCCTGATGATGGCAAACAGCCAAAAACGTTTGGTTTAAAGGACCCCATTGATAACAGTGCTCCCGCACTGAAGGGCTATCCTGTATAAATATTCGTTATTATTATTATTATTATTAAACATTTTAATAATTTTTTTTCTAATCTTTTAGCCTTGTATATAGAATATAGGAACAGTCTTGTAATAAAGTAATTGTGATATCTTACATAGATTTGCAGGGTTGGGCAGGCCAGGCAAGCCATGATGATCCAATGGTGAACAAGTTGCCAATTTTGATCTTGGTGCAATCAAAGCACCACAGTAACAGCATCTACTGTATTTTTACTGGGTTGCACCAGCTGTTCAGTGGTGAACCCAATGAATTTGCAAATAATTATGACATACCATGCAATCGCAACTAGGAATTCATGGTTTGCATAACTGACTCCTCTGAACTTGAAGATAAAATGCAACACAAAGTATACAGCCAAACCTCATGAAGCTTGTCGCAGTTGTGCCAAAAAACCTGTCCAGACAGCTTCCGAACACTGTGACCTGCCCCAGCTGTGTTCTGTCTGCCGCCATAACACTGATCCTGTATCGATATTGAACACTTTCTGTCCTGTACATCTCCCGGCATCGTTCACACCAGAATCTAAAATGAACAGTCAGCTATCACGAGGGAGGGAGTTACTATTCTGGGAACCATTTTGTAACATCTTCAAAGTACATTCAAATTAGAAGTAGGCTTTTTAATCCCTTCCCTGGAACTTTCCATTCCAGCAAAGGGGTTATAAAACGATGCTGAATTTAGGAAAGGAGAAGAAATGGCTCTCTAGTACAAACGAGACTAGTACTACAAGTTTAGTAAACCGTACCAGTTTGAAGGTGCCTCGTGTAAAGCACTGCTCGTGTACGGTAGTGTAATATAACTTCATTTGAAGCGATTGTAATTACGTATCTTACACAAGGTGAAGATCGCTAGGAATAATTTTTGAAATGTACTGCAGTACATCATAAGATCAAAATAAGTAAAAGAAGTGTTTGGATCACAAAAAACTCACGTCAATTCATTCTCTCGAGTGTGGACTTTTTTACGACACCGAGTACAACAAGGATAACAGAATTTGTCACGCATGGAGAGAACAGTGGCCAGAACAAATACACTTTGTGTTTCCATTAACGCTAACACTCATATGAACCTCGAATTTCCATCGTAAACTTACTGTTTACCTCTCACTTCGCTCTGCTAAATTCAGAAAATCCAAAATGGCGCCCATTTACAATAATCCAATCAGAGCATCGAATGCAACATAACGTTAGGTCCCAGTCCGTAAAGATTCATCAAGCGCAGATTACCTCTCGGTCTCCTTTGACGACGGGATTAATGTTTGATAACTTGAATAAAGGCATATCCATCGCTCAGAGGTATTTTGTACATCTCACCATCAGGTTTTTCATGAAACTGTCAACTAAAGATGTGGCTAGCAGAAATCTTGTCTGCAACAGCAATCCATAGAATACTGCCCTTTTGGAGATCAAAAATCTTAACACACTCACACAAGTATGCATATTCCCCATACTGGTCCATACTGTTCTCAAAAAATTTCCTATGGTGCTAAGAAGAAGAACTTGTGTATTAATCAAGATCAATTTCCAAGGTTGACAAAAATGTGTGATTCAGGGGTTATATTGCACTGAGAAATTAAATGCTATCACTCTTAAGTTCAGAGGATGGGTTTTCACCACTGAATGTGATTTGTAAGTTACTTCTCCTAAAAATTTTTATGCCATCAAGCTGAGAAGGGTCCATGACAATGAAGTAAAGAATCGACTGGTGGAAATTTGTTTGATTTCTCTCCAAATTCTTAGCACCAGGCAGCAAGGAGAATTAAAATTGGGGGAAGGCGACCAAGGAGTGAAATGGTTAGATAAGCAGTTTGATTATTTAATGACAGTTGTATATATAAAAAAAGACAACGTGACTACCGGTATTTGCCTTCAAAAATCATCACGTTTATTGCAAAAACTAAAAACTACTTTAATTCCTGTTTTTTTTTTTTCTGAAAAGATTTGCAAAGGGAGAGATACTTATTGAAAATTGTCAGAAAAACTGTATTACTTACATATTAAAAGGATCTAAAAATTGATGATTTTGAAAGAGACCTGAGAAGGTAAGGTTCAACACAGATTATAAAAAAAAAAAAAGAAATAATTTACAGTTTGTTGTAGCTTCACACGGAGAGATGTTTGATCCTTTTTGCAGAAAATCTTCCGTTGTACATAAAAATATCATGAACTAAATATAGACTGTTTCCAAAAAGCTAATTATATACAATATTTATATGATCTTTCTCCTTTAACAATTGATATTTGACTGAATCAGGTATTTAAACTTATCAACTGGTTTTGTGTGGCTGTAATATCAGTATTCTATACAAACACCCTATGTCGTACTTAATTTCATAAATGGGGAAGTTTAATTCTTCCCATTAGGGTGAAATCATAAAAATGCAAATTTTATTATTTCCAGTGAAGTTCTTCTACATGACATAACAGTTTTCTTTTTTGAGGGGGGGAGGGGGGTATACTTTTGTTGAGTTTTAAATCCATGCTCTTTGAATCTTTGATGTTATCAGTATTTCTATACTCTACAACAAGAGATCAGTCCCCGCGCACAAATTGAATGGCCTCCCAGAGTAATGTCTTTAGTGCCATTTTCATCTGGAGATAAATTGTCTTTTGTTTCGTTACCCTCCACATTTTTAATATTTCTCATCAACTGGGTTGCTAAACTCTCAAACAAGTTTTCTACATTGTCTGCTTCTTTGGCGGATGTTTCCATGGCATCACAGTGTTCTTCCTCCGCAATCATTTGTGCACTCCTGAAATCCACTTGTCTTTCTTGCGACAAATCACTCTTGTTGCCCACAATATACATAAGCACTTTCTTGCTGGTAAATCTACGGACGTCCTCAAGCCAATGTTGTTGCAGGTTGTCGAATGATTTTCTACTGGTGATATCATATGTTATAATGACTCCATCAGCATTGTGGTAGTAACTCTGTGTGACAGAACGGAAGCGTTCTTGGCCAGCAGTGTCCCATACTTGCAGCTACAAAGATAAATGAAATAAATAAATATAATGGAGTAATAAATAAATATGCATATTCTCCACACTGTTCTTTGAACATTTCTTGTGGTATCGACAAGGAAAATTTGTTTAACAATCCAGAGCTTATTGAGTGGGTTACAATATCATTTCCTGTATTCTCATTGCCTTTAAGTTTGAATCTGTAATGATGTTGTATAGAGAAATTAGAAGCTTGTCACTGTTATGGGTAAAGGGTTAAGGATTAAAGCCAGGAAAATTCGTCTCACACTTAACTAGTTTAGTGTTGTGAGACCGCAGTGGAATTTCTGAAGCTATGTCAAAAATTTTTTTCACTACAAATAAACTTTTTTCGCAAAATTGATTACATGTTTCATTGATAACTATATGAGCTGGACCCCTAAATGGCGAGTATTGCAGTTTCAAGATCTATTTAGGCCAAAATTTTTTCACATGCTTCTTTATCATTAGGCCAGTGAATTACTGCTTGAGATAATCAGAAGGTAAAGTATTCGTTTTTGATAAGTAACAATTTTTTGTTTTTGTTTCTGCTTTCTCCTCTATGCTATTAATATATTTTTTTGTTTTCCAACATAAAACGAGAACTTCCTATTTCGAAAGCTTATGAATTTATGGAAAACTATTTCAGTTTGGTTGGCAATCTAATTTTGAGTGAAACAGAACTATCTATCATATCTAACCTAACTGTCAAGGCGAAAATTAAAAATCGTGCATGACAACGGCGCAAAAGGAGGAAAAATATCAAAATTGAAAATAAATGGAAAACAAATTAATGTAATTGAAAGTAAGCGTCGCCGAGCGGAAGCCTATCTATTACAGTATTCCCCAAACGAATGAATCTAGCTGGTTATAAGCTAAGATAAAGGTTTTTTTCACGCAATCTTTTTGGGAAAAAGTTTAAAATTATATTCCACACTAGCATTATGTTGTGGTTTTCACTGCGCTTTTAATGATGAAAGTTGAGTACGTTTTAGAATATAACTATTCACATCCTTGAACTTCAAGAGTTCCGTTGTATTCCGTAAATCAACAGAGGAAGAACTTATTAGAAGAAAATGACTTGAGGATTTATCGATTTCCCACATCCAGTCAACGAAATTACCAGCAGAAAACAGTTAAAGCGTGATCGCAAATTGCATATTGCAAACAAGTACACTAGCCGAAAAGACAGCCGTTAACAATCTCCGAGAAAGGAAAAAAATTCATTTTATCTTAAACAAATATTTTTCGTTCAACGTTTTTCTTGTATCAGACATCGAGAAAACGATTATCATCGTTTAATTCATAAATATTGTGGTTTGGAAATTAAAAACAAAACCGATGCCGCTCACGAAAGCGGGCAAAGTTGAATTTCACTCTTGAATCGAGCTGGCACGGGAAAAATTTGAAAATACGAAATAAACAAGTTTATATCTAGGCACATTACGGAAAGTTAACAAATCTTCGTTTACATTAGGAAAATAGATTGTGAAGAAATGTAAAAAAAAAAAAAAAAAAAAAAAAAATTGCGAGAAGCATGTTACAGCTTCGCTTCAGCGCCACAGACAAAAAAGTTTTATACCTTTACTCTTTCACCATCGACTTCCACGGTTCGTATCGTGAAATCCACGCCGATTGTAGGGCCCTGAGAAGGCGTAAAGAAACCCTTAGCAAATCTTTTCACCAAGCATGTTTTTCCGACGTTCGCATCTCCAATCAGGATGATTTTGAAGAGATAGTTGTAATCATCCATTACACAAGAGAAGTTTCTTCAGATTAGATCGCCCCGAAGTTTGAAATATTCAAATCGATCAGTGTTCCAGTTTGTTTCACCAGTTCAACGATCGTTGATTGAGCACTGAAGAATCAATAGGGAAAACCCAACGCTTAAAAGTAAAATTTTCTTCAACAAATTTAGAAGATTACATGTTGTACAATCACGCGCGAGACCTCTGGAAGCATCGTTTTCAATTGTTTTGATTGGACAAGCCCTACATGACGTCATGAAATAACAATTCCGTGTTTCCAGCGTGGACTTCCGGCACGTATATCTTCAGTTTCGTAAAGTTCCATTTACGGTTTCATTACCGTCAAAGTATTTTTTGTTGCAATTTTTATTTGTTTGTCGAGCTATTTATGGACGCTTGACTGAAAAAATATTTCCCCGCTGTAACTAAAAAATAACCCGTGATTTTGATTAAAAATGCCCAGCAAGCATTTTCATTCTGAAACGACAGTCCCCTAGAAATGTTTAGCCGAAATCGTTTTCAAAAGCAATACGTACCCTTCTACTCCTTCCATGCTTTTTTCTTGTGGTTATGAAGGAAACATGTCACGTTTCATGCATCTTAACGACTTTCCCAGTCTATTTCCTGCCCAAGTCAACCATGTTCCTTCATTTGCTATTGTTGCCACGTTCGCGTTTTCTTTCTCCTCCAAATTTTTTTCTTGTCTCGCCACGTTGCAAGTTTTCTCTTGTCACGAAAAAAGAAAATGACTTGCCAGTAGAGCGATGTTGCTCGTTTTGGTTCCTTAAACTTTGTAGGATATAAAAAAAATTATTTTGAATAATAATAATAATTTTTTTTTAATGATTATGTCAGTTTGCACCCCATTTTCTGCATGCAGTTAAGAACACTCGCCAGTTCCATTTCGAGGTGTAAGGGCGACAAAGCATTGCCTGTTAGATCTTGCAAATATTTCGGCGGTGCATTACCAGGAATCGAAGATTGAAACCCCAGAAAATATAAGACGACATACATGCACAAACAATACCCTTTAAAGTGATATGAAAAATTCTCCAAAATCTGTTCTGACAGATAGTGATGATAGGTGCTGAAAAGGCCGAGGAAGGTGTGCGGGGGGGGGGTGGGATAAGGAGACTAAGAGAGGGTAGGGTGGTGACATAGAGACATCAATCAAGTCAAGAGCATGGCAAATCATTTAATTAACATAAATTCAATAGCTATGATACCTATGCAGTGGATTTATTCATTTCATTCACCCCTTAAGTTATAAGATCCTTTGATTCTTTATGGACTTTTATCTATATAGTATGTAATTATTGACAGTATAATTTTTGATTATCTTTCTTAATGGTTACTAATACTTTTGAGCAGCTCAAATGGTATGTTGAAATATACAATGTTTATATAACATAGTATTATCTAATTTACTTTTATCCAATGAAGTGATAAAGTACTTACAAAGATAAAGCTATTGTTAACTACAAACAGCAATTTGCTAAAAAAAAAAATTTCAGCAAAAAAATAGCAAGCAAGCACCACACTCGTTCAAATCCCAAAATCTCTATTATAAATTCTGCCTTCTGTCTGCAAATATTTCTTGTAATGTCAATTCCGAAAATGAGGTGTTCAATCAAATTATGTCTCCTACTTGACATTTTTTATTATTCTCCACACCTGACTTTCAAAAAATGTATTGATAATGTAAGGAGATTTTAGCTC